ACACGATGCATCAAGAGCCGGGGGTTGAAAACTTTTTGCATTTGAAGATCAAGGTAAATTGCACTTAATTTGTCTTCCGGGAAACATGCACGTATCTTCTGTTGCTTCCGAAGGGCGGTACTAAATGGAAAACAATTATATTTCAGCAAAATAAGAAAAACTGGGACATCTTCATCCTGTTCAAAAGTTTTCACCCCCCGGCTCTTGATGCATCGTGTTTCCTTTATATTAATTTTAATGTGTATAAATTGAATTGTATTCCACTCAATTAGGTATGACTAATGACAAGAAAAAGATGTTTGAGACAAATTAATATGCAAATAGCAAGTGAGCAAAAACCCAAAAGTATTATTATTTTGAATGTAAAATAACAATGTGAAATAATTATAATTATAAAAGAATTCGAAAAATATGAAAGTTTTAGATACTATGACAGCTTTAGATACTATTCCGTTTTTCTTATCTGGAGGCAAATGTCGTTGTGCCCCTGTTTGTGTTGTACATGTTAACCCAGCTCAGCCTGGTTTGGTTCGAGGTCAGTCTGAGAGCCCTAAACAAACCGCTACAGTGATCTGAGAGAGATCCAAGAGCAAAGGCCGCATTCACAAACAGTGGAGATGATGAATGAGCGGGAGCTTCCACTCAATCAGAGCACGGACCGGATAAGGAAAAACACTTCCTGTTTGTCGACACGTTCCAGGACTAATATCTCTCCTGCTGCTGAGGAACGCAAGACGACACTGATCTAGAAGCAGCTTCCTCCTTGAAAAGATCACTGCTTATCAACATCAATCGCAAACGTCATCAAGCCAGTGTACTAGTGTAGCGATCAAATACTAGTAGGTCACATGTGACTGATATGTTGATTTATTTTTCTCATATTTACATACAGACACAAATAAATTGTCATTCCCGGTAATCAGTCTCAGTTCCAATGACTGATTATAATCAACAGGATACTGAACTTTTTTCAGAGAGTGTAATGCAAACAAACCTTTTGGAAAATCAGAATATCAGCCACTTTAAATTTGTTTGTATCTAAATATTGCATTTATATTATTAGAATAATAAAAAAAGTAAATGAAGGACTTTTAGGCCTTAACTGATTATTAGACTCATTATTAGAAATTTTTGCAACTTCAGCCTAAAATTCATCAGTAATAATGCATTTTGTCATACATACGTTTTTTTTTTTTAGATTTCTATTTAGCTTTATTTGTTATCCAAGGCAACATCTATTTTATTTTTTGCTTTATTTTAGTTTTTGACTTACAAATATTGTTTTAACATATAACTATAATATAATGAACTTACTATTCAACTATTTAAAAAGAAACTGAGTTATTATGAAGTATCAAGTTGAATAATGACCTAAATATAGCTATATCAAAGCTAAAGAGAAAAACACCACAGTGGTCAGCTGTACCAAATCTGACACATTTTAATGAAATACTGCAAAACTCAGAACGTTTAAGCAAACGTGTTTTTGTTCTCAGCTGATTCATGCCGTTACACGGCACATAGCATTTTCTTTCCATAGCTTCTCATTCACACATCACACATTCTATGATAAAGTGCTTTACTGTTTCACTTCTCTGGCCATCTATGGCACTCAAGCACAGAACAGCTCAATGCCATAGTATGCTGGGAAATCTGTTCTGTGCTGTTGTCAGGTTCTCAGATTGTGACTATGTTCAGAATAGCACACTTCTCTCATACTGTTTCAGCAATATACAGTATGTATACTGTGCATAATATGCCAATGTTTGCATGAAATACCTGGATGGCCTACAACATTTGCCAAAATGTGCAGTATTTGACCAAAGCACACTGCATGGACCGCAGCACCCACAATGCATTGTGCTTGACCTTCTTTTTCCAGAGAGACGAATGAACAGGAAGTAATACCAGGTGCATTTGAATATATTTACAAATGTTAAAATATATATTTATTCATATTTTGCATATATTTATCTTTATTATTTTGTTCCCTCGATTTATAAATTGTGCGCACGATTTACTAATTCGTTCCCTCGATTTGCTAAATCGTGCTTAAGACATTATTACACAAACCTACGGAGCCCCGCACATGGTATGCAGGAAAAAAATAGTAGGCTAAATTGTGCGCACGATTTACTAATTCGTTCCCTCGATTTATAAATTGTGCTTAAGACATTATTACACAAACCTACGGAGCACCGCACATGGTATGCAGGAAAAAAAATAGTAGGCTAAATTGTGTGCACGATTTATAAATCGAGAGAACGAATTAGTAAATTGTGCACACGATTTAGCAAATCGAGAGAACGAATTAGCAAATCGAGAGAACGAAATAGTAATCGTGTGTACGTTTTAGTACATCGAGGGCACAAATTAGTAAATCATGCGCACAATTTATTTATTTTGTCTTGCATGTCATGTGCGGGGCTCCGTACAAACCTGATTTTAAAAAGCAAAACAATTTTTTCCCCTAATTTTTATGTTGTTGGCATGATCATGAGTTTATTTGATGACAATTTAACATACTACTAAAATTTAGTTTTGGAAACTGTCGCATACTGTATTTTAAAACTTATAAACCGTGTACAGTGTATACAGTGCAGTATGCCAGTATTCTATTCTGAACATAGACTCTTATAAGCACCTGATGAACTTGCAATGCCCTCTGGGAGATGTAGGCACAAGGGTAGTGCATGTGTGGACACCTGATAGAATGAGGCTGTTGTATGTTCCAGGTCACCTGTAAGAACTGTTGCCAGAATTTGAGGAGAGCCCCATATTGATCTCTTTTGCTGTACAGCGCCTCTCTGAGGCAGGAAGAAGATTGTCAGCTCTCAGGTAAGTGCATCTCTATAGAAAGACCCCTTAAAGCCAAGATAGCATGCAGCAGTTATGCACTACATTAAAAAAAGGTCACCCTGTTTCGACATTTTGTTACAGAACATACATTCTGCAGATTGCAAATTATAATTGGCTGTAAATTATGACCTGAAAACTGAGGGGTGAAATCACTTGTGCTACGGCTAGTCCTTGTCACTATTTTATGGGCAAACGTAACTTCTTTCTAGGCAAATGAGGCTCGTGGCCATAGCACTTATCGTAGACATCTATGGAAAGCAGGTAAACTGGATTTTATTTAAAAGGGATTTAAAAGAAGTATTTCATCAAATGATGATGAAGAGTATTAAAATCGGGCATACAGTATATCCAGAGATGGAGCATTTTCAGCATTTTGAAGAGCTGAAAAGAGTTTATTTTATTTGAAACACATAAAATTTCCATTAATTTAGTTTACACAGTTTTAACACAAACAAAGTAATAAATGTAAAGTGATGCATATTTGTCAGTCATAAATGAAACGGGTAAGAATCATGTAAAAAAAAAACACATTGCATAGTTTATTATTTACTATTTGCATCTATTAGATTTTTTCTAAACAATTATATGATTAAAATGCATTCATACAAATTGCTTAGAATCGCCATAAACCTGTTCATTGCAAAAACGATTACATTTAGTCAGTTAAAATGTATGGTTAACATTAAAACATGTTTAGCTTTAGAACAGCTAAAGTAGCTTTAGAACAAGCTTCTAGCTTTAGAACAAGTTAGTTCTAGTTAGTTTTTAGTAGCTTTAGAACAAGCAACTATTTAGTTAGTTCAAATGTATGAGATTGAAAGAAATTAGATTTATTGATGAAAAATATACAGTATAAACCTGATTATTGTGTCTTCAAAACAGTCAGTTTATTAGTGCTGTTACATAACTCTTATGTGTTTATTTTATGCATGACTGACAGATATGCATTCCAATAAGTTTATTACTTTATGTTAAAACTGTAATCCAAATAAGTGGAAATTTTACATGCAATTCAAATATATAAATCTCTAATTTAAACCTACAGTTACAGTTAAGAATGTATGATATATCGGTGCCATCTTGGGTATTTGCCGATATTAGATATTTTTTAATTAATCGATATTGTATATTTATCTGTTCAGCTCATTTTCCGCATTTTTCTTTTTCTTTACTGCAACACTTAAACTTCTTTAAAAACACTAATAATTTGATAACTGTTAAATGTAATCATATTTCATACTGTACATTATGATGTTGTGACACCTACATTTCATTTTTAGCATTTTTTGCACGTTTTTAGTGTTTTATTTTGAATGTATTATTTGCAAAATAGTATAGAATTTTAATATTGATATCCATTTATCGGTTATCGGTTATAACATACGATTATAATTAGTCAATAATTATCGCTTTTCATTATCGGCCAGAATTTTATTATTGGTGCATCAGTTTACAGTCCCAGCAAAGTATTACAAATTGCGGCTGTTCATACGGGACACAGTCTGGATGCGTTTATTAAAGTTAAATTACTGTTTTAATTGAAGCAGCGTCTTAAAAGCGCAACTCTCGTGGAGAGAAAATACACCGAGATGTGAAGCACTGGTGAAGACAACTATTAAAAAACGGCGGCGCAAAATTACATCCTATGTGAACGGCCCTAAAGTCTGCTGCAAACTCAGAAACCATGGCAAGCAAATTTGCTTTCCGCGCGAATGTTTGTAGCGCTACCAGATTTGCGTAATTCCTGCAGCAAAGCATTGCGTGTAAACTGACTCCATCAGAGGGCACTGTTCATTCGGAATGAATTCACCCTGAATGTTTCCTAGGGCTCAGGCTCAATCGTAAGGGATTGTGTCCACTGAAGCATTCATGTATCATGTGATTGTTGGTTATTTTGTCAGTTTTCATGACCTAGTTGAGCTTTGGCGTAAGTCAGATCTCAGTGCTAAGCTGGTTACATATTCATGGGGCTAAACAGGATATGACAAAGGCCACTGGAAAATCTTATCTACCCACTTACACACAGAGGTGTAGCGTTGTGAAAAGCGAAGGCTGATTTTAGAGATTGTAGTTCTTATTAAATACAGTAATTTGTCAAAATACTAAAGTAACTCATATCTGTTTGTGATGTTTCTGCTGTAGACTTTCCACGGGATGAGGAAAATTGGCCAATCCTGCTAGCCGTTCAGAGTCATGACCATCAAGTTTGAGAAATATCTGTTTATGGTGTTCATTTAAGGACAGTCCCAATCAAATCAAATGTTTTGTTGGATGTTTGAGGCCACAGAAAGAGGCGTGATTGTTGGGTCTTTTGCACCTCCTCTTGAAAACGGCGCAGCGGCACGGGCTGCCACACACATAAACAGGACACACTTGAGTGTTCACTCGAATGACTGAGATTCAGGTCTTGCTGCTCTGTGTGACGGGCACTTTAACTCCTTTCTGTCCTATAGCTGTGAAGGACAGAGAGAGAGAAGATATTTAATGATGGACAGAAGGCAAATTAAAGTCATCAGTATTTTGCAGACAACTAAAGAAAGACTTTAACAGGCTGAGAATCAGCTGTCAACATTTACTCAGCATAATATTAACACTAAAACAGACAGAAGCAGAAATGTTTGAATAAATCCATTTAAGAAAAGAAGTTTAAAGTTTAATGACAGCCACTGTTTTTATGTTCATGGTATATTTAAAAAAAAAGTATTTACATCATTAAAGTTAATATAAAAACTATTTAAATGTTATTAACATTTACCATTTAAAAATTTAAAGTTTACAGCATTAGTTAGGTTTTTTTTTTTTTTAGAAACATTGGCATGTACTCTACCTGATATATATCCAAATGAATTGGTAATGAATCGAATCAAAATCAAATTGAATTAAAACGCAAGCTTGTGAATGAATTGAAATCGTATCGAATTGTAAAATTCTTCATTTTCACAGCTTTGAATGCGGCTCATCCAATCAGACTGATGTATTTTGGATCTTTTGTTTTTAGCTTGTGCTTCCTAATGTGAAGCAGCTTTTTGTTATGAATAATCTTTTAATTTTTTGGTTTGCGTTCATCAAGGTACACATAAAAAAAAGAAGAAAATAATCACATTAAGATGTACCTTTTTTATATTAAATGATTAAAAACAGTTTATGATTATCTATCATATAAAGAAAAATGCTGCTGATTATAGCTTAACTCAGAAATGCATACTTATTATAAATATATAAATGTATTATATATATAAATTATTTTAATGTACAATTTTTTATGTTTTTGAAGGAAGCCTCTTATGCTCACCAAGTCTGCATGTATTCCTTAATAATTATTTATAAATATTGTCACAAATTAACTTTTTAAAAACATATATTTTAAAATGTAATTTATTCCTGTGATGGCAAAGCTGAATTTTCATCCATGTCCAACTTTTTCATCCATGTCCAACAAATTTTTTTTTTTAAATCAATGTTGAATACAGTTGTGATTCTTAAAGTTTTAATGGAAAACCATGCAAAAAAAATTCAGGATTCTCTGATGAATAATAAGTTGTAAAGAACAGCATTTATTTAAAAACAGAAATCTCTTGAAACATTATAAATGTGTTTACTGTCACTTTTTGAAAAATAAAAAATAAAAAATACTGACCGCAAACTTTTTAATAATACACACACACACACACACACATATATATATATATATATGTGTGTGTGTGCGTGTGTGTGTGTGTGCACATTATTTATGGTGTGGATTTACTTTAATTGCTTAAAATTAATTTATGCTGAATTTCTGTACAAAAAAAAAAAACTATAATGTGATGTGTACTCTACGTGATATAAAATTACAGTGATATAAGGTTGACACTTGGTTTGGCAGCTTAGTCTTAACTGAGTTTGATTCCACCCCTCTCACAGGTCTGTTTTCACATTATACTATTTGGTTGTGATCCGCTACACTCTTCCATCATCAACATAAGTATAACAGTGACTCTGTTCCCACCAACCAAACACACTGAATTCTTAAGGCAAACTGAAAACATGTAGTGAGAAAACAGCCTAAGCCACAAGTTTCTTTTAAGAGGTCTGAAACTCACCCAGTCTGTACTTCTCCTTAGCTTCAGCCCGCTCTTTTGCATCAAAATACCAAACGGTGATGGCGTAGCTGTGGGAAGAGAAAGATTCATTCAATCAGACAGTCTGATGAGCATATATGGATCTGATTAACCCAAGGCAGTGGTTTAGGAACTGTGATATGGAGTCTGAGATGTATAGATTCATGTGGATCATTGTGTGGATCAAGCACAGAAAGGGTTAACGCTAGTAAAGCGACTCTGTTTGTTTATTCCTGGCTCTCTCCTACCGGCACGAGCGCACAAACTGAAACGATGGCCACTTGCAAGCAGGAAGCACGTACTTCCTGTGCCCCACCTCGCCCCCCAGCTGCGATGGGGGCTGATACACCACGACTCTCATCCTAAATGTAGAATATAATGTAAAAAGTAAACGGCAAGAAGTTCTTTTGATTGTTTTACTAGGAAGGGATGAGCCAAAAATACAGCGTTTAATTTGTTTCATCAAACTCATTTCAACACAGACCCTCTTCCTGAGGAAACGCAGCTGCAGGTGCGGCGTTTAAAGAGCAGTATCAAATCAAACCATAGTGTTTGCAGCGGTGCGAAAACAATGGTGGTGGATGAGGTCAGATGAGTGCATGTGTGTGTGTGTTTGAATAGATCACAGTCCAATAGATGAGAGGTTATGAGAACTGTAGGACTGCGGTTTTTACCACATGACATTTTACTGCCTGAAATAACCTTTCCCTTTCATAAAAACAGAATGTTTTTTGTTGTTGTTTAGGATTATGGATTATGCTGAGTTTTTATTATTAAGAATTTCATTATTTTACTGAGACTTTCATTATGATTTAAGGATAGTTGTACCACCCTGACATTATTATGTATTTCTCCAAAATAAATAAAATTAAATTTTAAATCATAAATTAAAAATATGATCATCACAGAAGAGGTGCGTTCAAGTCATTGTGACAGCATTGTTATCATTAATTGAAACTAAAACTAAAACCATTATTAATCATTTTCAAATATAAATATTAGATGAAAAACTTAAACAAAAATTGGCAACTAACTGAAAAAAGTACTAAAACTGAAATAAAAATCAACTAAATTAAACAGAAATATTAAAATATAGATGATATAGATACACAAAAAGACAGTTGTACCACCCTGACATTTTTTATTTAATCCCCCAAAATATGAATTTTAATTCATAAATTAAAAATATGATCACCACAGAAGAGTTGTGTTCAAATCATTGTGTTGCTGTTGTTAGCTAAAACTAACTAAAACCATTATTAATCTTTTTTTAAATTGTTTAAAAAAAATAAATAAATAAAAAGTAAAAAATGAACAACTTAAAAAAGTTGGCAATTAACTGACATATGTTTCAATACTAACATTATTAAAACTGAATACAAAATACTAAATAAAATAGTAATAAAAAATACTAAAGCATATTACAAAATTACTAAAACTAAAATTTAAGTTAAAACTGGAAATATAAAAATAAAAGTTAATTCATAATATTAAGATATTTAATATATTTAAAACTAAAACATATGACTACATACAGTGCATAAATAATACATAAATAACACCGCATTGTACATATGAATTGCATTTTTGCAGTGCATTTTTGAAGCACCTTGGCTCTATGTGAGTGACTGTAGTACTGTAAACACTGTGTGTGGACTCACCGAGTGGTAAAAGCTGGTTTCACTTCATGTGGGTTCCGGCGATCTGACCAGAAAATGAGCAGACGGTCAAAGAAAGGCTCGATGTTGGCTACAACATTACGACCTTCAGGGAAGATCTGCAATAAACCTCCATGAACCTGGACAAACAGATCAAAAACAAGTGGTAGAAATGGATAAGAGACGACTCCCCTCCTCACTAATCAAGTAACAGTAAGAGTAAACGTAAACGCAGGGTCACGGCAAACCTTGGCATCCCAGTTCTTGTTCAGATAGTAGATGCAGGTTATGCAGCGTCCGTCGCCGTTAGGATTGTCCACATGTCGCACATATCCTGTTCCGTTTCCAGGATAACATGCAACCATGGCCTGGTTGTACAGAAGAGAGGGAGGTTTTAGGATGATTAACAATTAAATGAAGACATTTTGTGACATTGTTCATGTTTAGGGCCAGATATTAAAATCTGTTCTGGCTGCTATGGCCACATTATGCTAATGTGCTAAACGCTACAGTAACACCTACTCACATTTCAAGCAATAACTGTTCCAAAATAAAGCAATAAGCCCCAAGAAGCCGTGGTTTACAGTGAATTTATAACAGCTAAGGGGCGTTGTTAGGCACGACGTGAAGCGGAGTTTTATAAAAGGGTTATTCCAAATACGTAGTAAGGTTTCACAAAATAAAACAGAGCAAATAAAGTGTAATGATATTAATAAAAACAGTATTCTTCCACTAAACAATGTAGTTCCTCAGAATCAGTTGTGGTTGCAACAAAGTGGTTGCCAAGCAACACACAAACGTAAACAAAGGTGTATGTTTGTAGAGTAATTTACAACAGCGTCGAACATGGCTCAGCCAATCAGAATCAAGGTCCGGAACTATCCGTTTTATAATAAGGGTTTTACAAGATCTAGGTAAAAAAGTGCTAGAAACTATTCAACTATTTTTTCAGTATAACTTTGACTTCTTTCAACTTTTGAAAGAGACATTTTGACTATGACAAACTGTCCTGACACAAAAACAGCAAAGGACTGCCTACTGACGTAACACGTAAAAAATTGTACAATAGCAAGGGTTTTAAACTAAGTAAAAAGGTTTTAAGTATCGTACATTTAAAGCTGCAGTCCGTAACTTTTGGCGCTCTAGTGGTTAATAAACAGAACTGCGTGCGTCTTGCGGAAGAACATTGTAGCTGGAGCTACTTCTCTCTGTTCATATCTATGGCGAATCATGCAGGTACTGGGCTACTCCGCAGCGGTACCTACCCGAACCAGTCTAAATAGTCCGAATATAAACACTTATTATAGGTGTACTGTAGTGATTCAGGACAAGCCAAAAACACGGTTTGGAAAATGTATTCATGGTGTACTCGCTTATTATATAAATGTTGTAAATTTTGAACACAAAAAAGTTACGGACTGCAGCTTTAAGTATCGACCTGGTACCGAAGTCCAGGACTATTCGACAACACTAGGTGCTGCTTTATTATTTTGGTCTTCTGGCCTTTTAAGAGATTTACAGCTCACTTTGGTGTCAGAATGATGAAGCTTTTCTGTGGCACCTGCCAAAGGTCACACATGCTCGAGCTTCAAAATAGCAGGTGCTGTATGGTACAGTATGTCTGCGCAGAGCGACCACCCTCTCTGACCGCACACAGGCCACCATTATCATCCAGTGCTGTTTATGAGGCTTTATGACCACTGGCCTGTGTCTCATCCAGATCTGACCTAATACTTCAACTCATGATGAATGACATGCCGAACGCTCATGATAAGGTCATAACAGATGCATGACAGCTTGAAATAAACATTTCTGTTAGGGTCAATGATTAACACTGCTGTTTTTGTTTCTAGATCTATTACTTCTAAAAAAAAAAAAACAATTAATACTAACATACTTAAAGGGATAGTTCACCCAAAAATGAAAATGTGATGTTTATCTGCTTACACCCAGGGCATCCAAGATGTAGGTGACTTTGTTTCTTCAGCAGAACACAAACGAAGATTTTTAACTCAAACCGTTGCAGTCTGTCAGTCTTATAATGGAAGTGAATGGGAATCACGGCTTTGAGAGTCAAAAAAACATACACAAACAAAACCAAAATAAACCCTGTGGCTCGTGACGATACATTGATGTGTAAAGACACTAAACAATCGGTCTGTGCAAGAAACTGAACCGTATTTATATTGTTTTTTACCTCTGATTTACTGATTTATGCGTTCACGTCTTCTTCTTCTTCTTCTTGCTTTACGGCGGATCCCAGACTTATAAGTGCATTACCGCAAGAGATAGGTGGCGGTAATGCACTTACAAGTCTGCAATCTGCCGTAAAGGAAGAAGACGACGCGTCACGCGCCGGCTGAAGAAGAAGATGCGAAAGCGCTCAGGACAGTTCAGACGTTGCAGTAAATCAGAGGTAAAAAGCTATACAAATACTGTTCAGTTTCTTGCACAGACCGATCGTTTCGTGTCTTTACACATCAATGTATCTTCACGAGCCACAGGGGCAGATACACATCACATTTTCATTTTTGGGTGAACTATCCCTTTAAATACACTTTTTTCGATTATTGAATTAAAATCATCATTATCATTGCTCTTATTATTAAATTATCATTGCTCTCTTGTTGATTTTGATTGCTTCCATTGTCCTCATTTGTAAGTCGCTTTGGATTAG